CTAATTTGATCTTATGATGGCTTGTAGGTGATTCCAAACTGGTGCGCCACCCACCCCGATTGTTGGGCTGCTATAGTGGACAAATGGTTGGATGCAGACTGGCAGAGGGCGCACCAAGAGAAAAGCGAGCACCGTATGATGATGCCAGGTGTACCTCACCATCAGGGTAGCGCCAGCCTCAGCAAGTATGCGAAGACATATGTAAGTCTCCACCATTTGTCTTATCTAGCCGCGCTCAGTTTTGCATTATTTCTCACCACATGTTGTTGTCTTTCTCGCAGTCGGCGGCGCACGGTGGCCAGCCAATTGGCCAACTCACGACGTATGCTCTGGCCCACATGGGGCCGGCAAAGTCCAACATCGAGTACAACCCGGATCAAGGGCCTGAGGCGTACACCAACTCCAGCGTCCCACACCGCCTCACTTCTACACGGAGGCGGCAAGGTCAGTCCACGGGCCCGACTACGATCCGAGGACCGAGGAGCGCCTTGATCCTAAGCTCGTGATGAGGGTGGGGGAAGGCAAGAAGCATGGGCGTTTCTGGATTGGCAACGACATCCTTGACATAGGCTCTACTCCTCCTCTCCACCGCCTCCGAGCAGCGAGCACGAGCTCTAGCGTGCCCATAAGGCAACGGCCGTCATCGGTGGCGGCACTCCAGGTAAGTATTCCAGTTTCATTCGTCGTTCTTTGTCATTTATATTCCTTAGCTATGCATTATTGAAACATTGGTGTCAAATGTTGTAGGCCGAGCTGCAGCAACTTCGGTCCCAGCAGGAGGCCCAGCTGGCTGAGTGGGGAGGCCGCGTCGCCGATGCTACAAGCTTTGGAGGCCCAACAAGCGTGTTTGCTCTAGTTCATGCAACAACTTGGGCTGCAACAAGGTTGGGAGATCCCAACCAACGCTGCTTGCACCACCACCACCACCACCACATCGTTCCGATTCTACTCCGGTGAGTATGAGTTCGGATGCTTTACTTTCTATGCTCATGCTTAGTGTCAAACCTAGTGATGGCCTTCGTGCCGGATTTGTTGATGTGTGGGCCTTCGTGTCGGGTTTGTTGATGTGTCGGCCTTCGTGCCGGAAATGTGGTTGTCGGCCTTCGTGTCAAGCGTTTTTTCTTGTAGGTTTGGAAACCTCCCCATGTGGGAGGTGTCTTTCGAAAATTTTCAACTTTTCTTTAAAGCGCTTACATTTTTATCTTGTCACTCACGTGCAATCTCTTCTCTTTGTGCAACATCAATCGGGGCGGCATCGAACCATCTCTTGAGGGTCGCCGGCATCATAAGTTAGGCGTCATAACCCTCACATTCGCCGTGAGCCGCTCGAGTCGGTTTTATGTAGGCATGCCTTTATGTATTGAACTTGTGAACTTGTGGTTTGTAATATATTGTGGATTTCGGACATAATTGGTCGTTTATGATATATATATGTGGTTTCTGATATATTGTGTTGAATTGTGGTTTCTAATATATGTGTGTATATATATGTTATATATATATATATATATATATATATATATATATATATATATATATATATATATATATATATATATACAACAATTTTGATTTAGTGCAATGGAATTGCAAAAAAAAAAAAAATTGATAAAAATGGCTTTTGCGAGTGCAATGACCATTGCACTCGGCAAAGAAAACTAAAAAATAAAAACAACAATTTCCCAGTGATTTGCGCTTATGGCAATGGCCAAAGAATTTTGAAAAAAAAAAAATTCTTTTGCCGAGTGTTGCACTCGGCAAAAAAAAAAAAAATTGCTTTGCGAGTGCCTTAGCGGTGGCACTCGGCAAAGCCTTTCGGCAAAAAAATTTTAAAAAAAATAAAACCGTGAAAAGTTCACGGAGCCTTTCTTAGAGTGAAGTGCCTCGGCAAAGGCTATGGCACTCGGCAAAGAATTTTGAAAAAAGAAAATTCTTTGCCGAGTGTTGTGAGAGGCTAAGTTCAACAAATATACAAAAAGGGTTTTCACCTCGACTTCTCACTCCCTCCTGAGCCTGCACTTTCTCTCTCCCGTGTCCGTGCGCTACCGTCTTTCTCCTATCTCTCTAAGTGCCGACTTGACACATGGCAAAGCCACGCTTAGCCTCTCTCGAGTGGCGGCAGCCCAGATTTAGCACGGCAAAGCGGTGGTGTTTTACCTTGAAAAGGTTCGAGCTCGCACGTCCGAGCCTCTTTGCTCCTACGAAGTGTTGTCGACCTTCCTCCGGCGGATCGAAGGATGGAGGAGCCGATCCGGCTACTGGCGGCGCTAAGTGCATGGGTGCCTTTGGCGAGTGCATGGGGCGGACTTATCCAAGCGTTTGGCTTTTTTATTAGTGAGAGGCCCAATTGAACACACATATATATACACCAAACTTAAAGGTTTTTTCAATGGCTCTTGTTCAAAGCTTTTGAACTCCTCCACAGATCCACCACCATGCATCCTCTTCTCTCCCCCATATCGGGGCGTCCCTTGGCACGCTAACGTGTCCCTTTCTCTCTACTTTCTCTCTCAAATATATAAGTCACATATTGCTTGGTAAATAGAAACGACTGAAGATAGCTTTGGCCTTTGGCCCATTAGCAAAGCGACGTGTACAACAATTGACCAAAGCCCAATAAACAATGGCCTGCCCCCTCTCTCTCCCTTGGCAATGTTGCCGATCCTCCTCTCAACTGAATCGGGATCGCAAATCTTAGGTCTCACGTACTACCTCTCGACGTCTCGTCAGCGCCGCCATCGCCGGTGCATGCCGCCGGCGGCGTTCAGCAGTCGTGGCGTGAGCGTGCGATCTGGTGGGGAGCAATGAGCGCGTGCGCTTAAGGCCTCAAGGTAATATAAATCATTCATATTTATTTTTCAATTCATTCACCGGTAGCCGCCGAACAATAATAAGTAGCGATCTCTAAATTTTGTTTTTTTTATCTTTTGATCTAGACACCCTTTGGAATAGCATTCAAAGATTGAAGCCATGTCTTCCACAAATCGTTCCATGGAGCTTTTCAAAAGCGTAAGAAGAAACAAAGGATCGAGGTCCAATCTCGGCAAGGAGCTATGGATCGTTTTTTTCCTCCGGCCCGGATCGATAATCCAACACTTGAGGCAGGGGCATGGAGGAGGGGATCGATTGACAATAATCTGATAATGGCTATAGATCCTCCGGAAAATAATGTTGAAGTTGAGGAAGCGACAACACAAATACGGGCGGGTGGATGGGAATCCTTCTTCGGACTTATCCACGGATATATTTGATCCAAGATCTGGGATTTTTTGTTTTTTATTCGATTAACCGAGGCGGGCATCGAACCGCTTCGAAAAAGGTTTCATTTACTGCCCGTCTCGGTAAAGTTTTATGTAGTAGTGGCTCTTGTTCAAAGCTTTTGAACATGTCAGCACACATTCTGGAATCTGGACGTAAAGGCAGCGCAACAACGCGCAGCGTTGTAGGACTGTAGGAGTTGTCCTATGATTGTATTCCTCCTCTGAACCTGCAACAGCACTGGTAATCATGCAACGCTGATCAGTGCTACACTGCTACTACTAGGATATTGATGACTACGCCCAACAAGCCCAAACGATCAGGGCGTATAAACAGAACGCCAACACACGGCTGCAATGCTTCTTGTGGCTTGTTCAAACCAAATTGCTGCAGGGGGTCAAGGCCGGTTGTCACCTCATGCATGAGTCACAAAGCTCTGGCGTTTCCGCGGACGGTCAAGGGCTCAAGGCATGCGGTTCCAGCCGACCAAGCTGGTGGGCGATGAGCAAGCCCTTTTTTAGAGCTTGACTGCATGATTGGGGAATGGAGAATCCTCTCCGCGTCTCCATTGCTTCTCCAATCTCCACCTATTTTGCTCATGAATGACACCATGCATGTTCCTTTCCTTTCGGCTTAGAAAATTCCTGTGATGATTTCATCTCCTTTGTCCCAACAACAACAACAACAACTCGTAGTGCTCCGGCCTGTGCATTGGAGTGCCATGATCACACGCTGCCGGGCGGGCCCTACCACCGGCCGCGCGCGGCCTACTGGTCGATCATGACGTTGCGTACCACAGTCCGCTGAATGTGATGTGATGCTCGGGGCTCCACTCATTTTCGTATAATAACGGGAGATACGTGCTATCGACAATTCATAGTTTTCTACGTACGGTTACTCTTTTTTTCCATGAAAACGAAAAAAAGGCACAGTACGGGGTCAGTTAACTCTTTTTTCCCCCATAAAAACGAAAAAAAGGCACTGTGCGGGATCACTTCTGGATTTTCAGGAAAGATGTGCTTCTTTCTTTCCAAAAAAGTGCAAAAGATATACTGCATGCTTCTTGAATTTGAAAGGGGCTGTTGTATGTGTGGTAAACCATGCATCTTGTAAAATTGGAGTAGTACTACTAGTAGATCATTTGGTAAAGTGAACCTGCATATGGGTACAAAACAGAGCCCCCAAAACGGAGACAGCTAGGTCAGTTGGAACTAGAACATGGCAGTAGTGTTCCAAACTGTGAAGTGAAACCCTACCACATTCATTCATCATTCCAAGGAACTTGTGGCGGTGGTCCCCACGTCCCTCCTGCTTAACATGCCCAAAACCCTGGTTGTACCCCACTTGCAGCCAACAAAGTGTCCCAGGTAATTACACATCAAGACAAAGCTTTGGTTTCTGAACACAGAGAAGACAAGTAAAGCCAAGGCACACAGAAAACACAAACAAACAAAGCGGCAGCTAGCCCTAGCTCAATCCGATCCAATCCATGGCATGGCAGGATAGATCATTCTCCCCCTCTCCCAGCTCCGACGATCCGACGTCTTTATAAACCGCCACACCCCAGTATGTACCACTACCCCACCCCAGCCTCCATCCCTCTGATCGATTCACACCACAAAGCGAGAACCTGAAAGCTACCACCCCACACCACTCCACCTTTGCCATCTCCAAGAAAGAACCCAGCCTCTTCTGCTTCAAGAAGCCTTTTTTGATCCTGAGTTATCGCCATCCATCCGACCATGATCCAAGAACTGCTCGGCGGGGCCGCCATGCACCAGCTCAAGAGCGTGAACGACGTGAACCCGGCGTCTCTGCCCCTGCTGCTGCATCCCGTCGTCTCCAACCCATCGCCCACGTCGTCCTCCTCGACGTCGTCGCGCTCGTCTGCGCAGCAGCAGCAGCAGAGGTCGACGTCGGCAACGTCGTCGCCGCAGGGGCAGCAGCAGGGGCAGGGGCAAGGGCAAGGTGCGGAGCAGACGCCTCTGCGGTGCCCCCGGTGTAACTCCTCCAACACCAAGTTCTGCTACTACAACAACTACAACCTCACCCAGCCGCGCCACTTCTGCAAGACGTGCCGCCGGTACTGGACCAAGGGCGGCGCGCTCCGCAACGTCCCCATCGGCGGCGGCTGCCGCAAGCCGCGCCCCATGCCTACGCCCGTCGCGAAGCCGGCGATCTCCTCCTGCAAAGCCGTGGGCGGCGCGCCGTCGCTGGGCCTCGGCGTTGGCTTGGGCATGGGCATGGGCATGGGCGCCGGCCCCGGGCCCTGGGCGTCCTCGCAGCAGGCGGCCGCCGCGCAGCTCATGGCGCTGCTCAACAGCGCCAGGGGCGTGCAGGGCGGCGGCGGCCACGGCGGAGGCAACATGCACAGGCTCCTCGGCCTCGATGCCATGGCACACTTTCCCCTCCACGTCCTGCCGGGCGCCGGCAATAATGCCAGTGGCACGGTGCCGTCGTTGTGGCCGCAGTCCGCGCCGCGTGCCATCCCTACGCCGCCGCACATGGACTCCCAGCTCGGCATGGGGCCGCCGCTGGGCCAGCACGACGTGCTGTCAAGCCTCGGGCTAAAGCTGCCCCTGCCTTCGTCGTCGCCGGCGGCTGCAAGCTACTACAGCGACCAGCTGCACGCGGTGGTGAGCAGCGCCTCCCGACGCGGCGGACACGAGTACGAAGCAGCCTCCGGCGTCACGTCCCTGCCCTGCACCACGGCGCTGACCTCCCTCCCGCCGGCCGCGTCGAGCGTCTCGGCTGCGCTGACCAGCTGCGCCACGGTCGGGCTAGACCTCCCGCCGGTGTCCATCCCCGCGTCCGAGATGCAGTACTGGGCCGCCGGGCCGGCGGCGATGTCCGTGGCGTGGCCGGACTTGCCCACCCCCAACGGCGCGTTCCCATGAGCGAGAGACAAGCCTGAACCTGATGATCTGATGTACGGATGACGCAGCTGTTTACCCACATGACACACTAGCTAGTACGTACGTAATAAACCAGTAGCTCCATCACTTCAGCCTTCTGCAGTGTGTTAGCTTTATCTTGCCGTTTGACTGTGTTTTTATTTGAGTGAGAACTCATCCACTCCGGGGGAGGTTAATCAATGGTGTTTTTATTACTGTTTGTTTTTGTTCATTAGTGGGAGCACGGGAGTGACTTTTCTTACTGTTATTAATCAGAGTTTTTTTTATTATTGGTAATACCTTTTTTTTTTTGCTTCTCTATATCTGCATGCTTTGTAGTGTAGTAGTAGTAGAAGAAGTGATCTGTACAAACGCGAAACCAGCGATTTTGATTAAGCGGGGCACTGCCCCATATATATATGGGTGTGTTGTTTCAAAGATGTGGTAGATCTACCTTGTTAAATCTATATGTATAGCATGATTTGCTTGCTGCAAGATTAGTATATTATGTTGCTACTCCCCACATCACTACATCAGTATGTATCAGTACTTGACTGAAATTTTCACTATGGTTTCTGATCTCGAAACTCCAAGTACATAGCTGAATGCATATGCATGCATGCCGCTGCGAAAACACAGTAACTTTTGTTTGTTGGCTCCCCATTTTTGCCTGTAGGCCGCCTATACATGACTATTTGTATGCTGATCGATCAAGATGGTGATTCGTTTAGTTGGCTTTTGCCAAACGTCGCGCAATCCTAGCTATTTGGCAGAAATAACTGGTCCACTATAGATTTGGATCTTTCATGCGTATCGCCCTTCCTAACATAGTAGCTCCGTTCTTTTAGTTAGTTCTCTCCCCATGTACGTAGCTGACTAGCTGTCTAGCTCTCTCTTCCATCTTGTATTCTTGTGTGTGATCGTCTGCCAAACGAGCTAGCTACGGAGTAGAGCAGTGTACTGATGCTATGCCCAACGCACGTTACGAGTTATGACACGACGTACGGCACGTACATAAACTGTGTTAAACACGTCCATTTGGTTTCCATGCATGATGCATGTACGAGCAATATGCCTGCACTGGCAGCCAGTAGAGGTTTTTAACCTAACCTCTAAGTTGCATTTTGCCTGAATCCTGATGCTATGCTAGGTATATAGGAGTATGTGGTATGCCGTAACTTCTTGTAACCATGCAGTTTGCCTAGTCCACAAATCCTATCCATGCATGGATCTCAGGCCGTGATAAAGCTGTCAATGTGCATGATTTCGGTAACTAGGCAAAATTAAGCAGCAATTAGTTTACTTCAGATATATCCATGCCAAAAAAGCAGTGATTACTGATTAACTTCATGGGGAGAGAAGCATCCCAATCAAAATCTTGTGTACTGAAGTGGCAAGAAATGAGAATATGATTGAGCCATCATGCATGGGCACTAAAAAAATGGGACCACTCTAGTCGATTGCATGCCCAAGCAAATAATTGCTTGTTCAAATCAAACCTGTCTCTCTCTGAATGTGTTCAGAACCCAGGTCAGAACAACTGTACCTCCAAGCTCGCCGTTTCATCTCCTCTAACGATGGGCTCATATATGGGCAGAGAGGAGGCGAGCTGCGAAGCAGTTTCAGTTTGTCTTCACTTTGAGGCAAGAACGCATTGTGGTCAGGCGACAGGGATTCACATCAGCCATATGGATCTCAGGCCGTGATAAAGCTGTCAATGTGCATGATTTCGGTAACTAGGCGATCAGCAAATTTCAGATATATCCGAGCAGTGATTATGATTTTCTCATCCCAATCAAAAATACGAAGTGGTAAGAAATGAGAATATGATTAAGCCATCATGCATGGGGGCAAAAAAATGGGACCACTCCAGTCGATTGCCTGCCCCAAATAATTGCTTGCTGCTGAATGTCAGAAGAACGCTACTTGTCTCAGTCAAGTGCTCAGAGCGAGAAAAAGCAGCGGCGAGAGACTGTTGTACGTACCAGGAGTAGTACAATCAGTGCTTGTACGGATCAGAGAGGACACGTTCAGAGAGCGAGCGAGCGAGCGAGAGAGAGAGAGAGAGAGAGAGAGCATTCCGCATTGGATTGGAGGAGAGAGCAGAGAAGGCCGGGACGACCGGACGACATCGACATGGAGGCAGGACCGCAGGAGTCTGGCCGGGGACATGCATTCTCTGGGCCGGCGGGCATGGCGTGGCCTAGTAGTAGTAGCTAAAGCGGCAGCATGCAGGCGGGATTCGATTCTCCAACACAGCGCGCCCAACCAGAGCTGTGCCGGGGCTCGCTTGGCAGCCATGGCTACTGGCTAGTACTCCTAGCTAGCTATCGACCAGCTCCCTGCTGCTGCCTGATCGATGCCAGATCGAGCCCGGGATGCAGCCTTACGTACTCCATACTCTATGCAAGCGTGGTGCATGGGGTTGGTGTAGAGAGAGACGATCGGTCGATCGCTGCCTCCCCTCCCACGCAGCATGCATGCTTGCATCTGTCCATCCGTCTCATGAAATACTCTATGTAGTACTGTAATATACCTACTCTCTCCGTACAAAAAAAAAATTGAAGTCCTTTCGGACAGCGACACGATCTTCAAATCATAACTTTGACTACTTATTTTTATAAAGATATTTATCAAAAAGTGATATATGTAAATTTTTGTGAAAATATTTTTCAAGATAAATCTATACATATGGTTTTCACATTTTCAAACTCAACAACTTAACCGTTATTCATGATTTATATTCCCAATATTTGACTAAAAACAACTTTATTTTTTTAATATGGAGGGAGTACGTGCCAAGGAGAGAGAGAAGTGTACTGTGTACATTAGCCTGCAAGAGGACTACTAGAGGAGAGAGTGAGAAGAGAGAGAGAGAAAAACAGCTGGCTACTCCCTACTCGTATCTACCGGTAGTCTATACGTAGCGTGCTGCGTCCTGAGTGCCAATAATGTGCCATCGTCTGCCATGTCGATTGTCGAAGCAGCAGCATGGAGGTGTAGGTTGGTGTGTCCTCGATCGGAACACGCGTGCGGTAATATTCCGTCCATGCATCTCGATGCATGCATGCCGGACAGCATCGGTAGAGAAGCTTGTTTTTATCCTGTCTCTTGGTATCTATCCGTTGTCTGTTTCTCCTCCCAGACCTTGTGGGATCACCAGTTTGCTGTTGGGGCTAGCCCCTTTTTATTACTGCTATTAGCCAGGTTATTAGAACACGCCACTGCGTTGTGTTTTTCTTGTTTGTTTGCATTTTTTTTAAACTTTGTTCATTTAGTGGTACTTGTTGGAACTCGATCTCTCCCTCCAGGGTCTATTTAGGATCGGTCGCTACACTGTAACCCTCTAATCTGCGTTGGAACATAGTATGAAGTATGTTCTCGATAACCAAATCTTACTCCACACTCATGGTGTTGAACAAGTCACAGAAGCCACAACCAACCAAGACGAGTAACCATAAACCACTAAGATTCACACCACTTGTCACCGACTCTCACCCGTCAAGATATCGTCCATTATAGAGCTTCTTCATGAAGAAAAAGGTTTCCTCACTCCCTTGACATCAAGTTGTCATGTCGTCCGTCCACACCAAACTCGGAGGTCGGTGTCCACTACAAGGTCACCAATACTTAAGTGCTCCCACTCACCAAAATTATAAGGGAATAACAACTCAATCTCTCAAAGCTTTTTTCAAGATCAAAAGTTTAACTCTCACAAAGGTGACCTAGAGTCTTGTCGGTGTTTTCAGATCATCGACGAGTAAATTTGTATTTGTGCATCTGGCTCGGATGGTGTGCTCGGAGGACACAATGGTTTATACTGGTTCGGGCGGAACGTCCCTACGTCCAGTTTGTTGCTGCTCGTGTTACCGGCACTTGGTTTGTAGTAGGGGTTACAAACAGGCGAGAGAGGGAAAGGATCCCAAGTCTCTGGTGGAAGGAGTGAACGGGTGCTGAGAGCTCATTTGCCGCTTAGCCGTCTGCTCGTGTTGTGCTCTTGTGTTATGTTCTCTGTGTCGAGATCTCGATCCCCCTTCATGGGGCACCCTGCTCCCCTTTCATAGGCCTGCTCCCCTTTTATAGGCGAAGGAAAAGCACGGGTTATAGAGGAGAAAAAAGAAGAAGAACGAGAGAGAAGAAGGCTTCCAAGGCCGCCGGGTCCTTCTTCTCCTTCATGAGGGTCCCGCTGATCCTGTAGATGTCAACAGGGACGGCTCCATGTCGTGGCCCTGTTTGTCACTGGCGTCATGCGCAGGCATCATCTGTCGGTCATGGCGTTCCACTCTGTCTTGGTAGACGTCGTGGTGAACTGACGCGCCTGTCAGCGTTCGTACGAGAATTAGACAGAACAACACCGTCACGTCAGACACTGTTCTTGATGTGAATCCCCAGGTATGGCCCGTCATGGCCACGGGTTACATCGAGGCGTGCTCGTCTCTTCCCTGGCGTCAGAGTTTTGACCCAGGCCCATACGCTTGGACCTGGAGTGGTTGGCGGCGGTATGGGTCCCCGTCGGATGAGACGAAACCCACATCCTTTGGGTCGGGCGAGACGTAGCCCGCACCTAATGTGTCAGGCGAGACAAAGCCCGCACCGAAGGGGTCGGGCGAGACGAAGCCCGCGGCCTTGATGTCGGGCGAGACGGAGCCCGCACCCAAGGGGTCGGGCGAGACGGAGCCCGTGGCCTTGAGGTCGGGCAAGACGGAGCCCGTGGCCTTGAGGTCAAGCGAGACAAAGCCCGCACCCAAGGGGTCGGGCGAGACGGAGCCCACTCTGAAGATGTCGGGCGAGACGGAGCCCGCGTCCTTGGGGTCGGGCGAGACCTTTTAATACGTCTCGAGCCATCCGGGAAAGTTAGCGTGGGCGCTAACTTCCTTGCTTTGAGTATCCCTAATATCGATACCCGACAGTAGCCCACGAGCATGCGGTGGAGTAGAATACTCCTTTGGAAGCTTTTCCGGATGGGAGGACTCTGAGGGCATTGGCCTTCTTTTTGTAGCCCG